CTTTATTATGGTGGTCTGGAACCGAACCGGTAACGTCTCGGAGGTCTGCCTGTACCAGTTCCCACTGTGGTTCCTGCTAACAGCATACCTATATGGACTTACATCCTCCCTCGCCTGCCTGTCCCTTGCACCTGCCGACAAACTGCTCGAACTCACATTCTGGGATCGGGGCCGGCTTCTGAGGGAACCTACGTTACGACAAAGCTGCTCTCTGGCAACTTCCCAGACCCTTTTGCCTCCATATTCCAGTTCTTCTTTCCCCTGATTCTGAAGTTTTATTTCCATTTTATGATTATCTTATTATATGCTTTCTTGTTGTGTTACCTTGAAGTCTTTGCAGAGTAAAAGACATTTTTAGAAGAAAAATGTCATGTAATGTTATGATTAAAATTAAAGATAAATGGTTCACAGAACGTGATCCTGATTTTAAAAAAACACATATGTACATACGTGTGTACACGAGGGAAAAAGAACAGAAAGAAATGCACCAAAATGCCAGCAATGGACCTGGCCAGTGTGGCTCAGTGGCTGAGCATTGACCTATGCACCAAGGGGTCGTTGGTTTGACTCCTGGTCAAGGCACATGCCCAGGTTGTGGGCCAAATGCCCAGTGAGGGGCATGCAGGAGGTGGACAATCAATGTTCTCTTTCATTGATGTTTCTCTCTCTCTCCCTTCCTCTCTCTAAAATCAATAAAGAAAAAAAAATTTTTTAATGCTAGCGATGGTTAACTTGGGGTGATATCATTCACTTTTTTCTTCTTTATACTTTATTTACAAAGAACATAAAGCTTTACTTTCCTCATCTATAAAATGGAGATAATTGTACCTACCTCATGGAATTGTGTAGATTGAAATTAAGTGTGATTATATATATATATTTTTAAATTTATTTTAATTACTTTATTTTATTACAGATGTTTCTCCTTTTCCCCCCATTGACACCCTCCTCCCAATTCCCCCCCACCCACCTGGTCCCCAGCATTATTGTCTATGTCCATTGGTTACACATACATGCATATAAGTGGTTTCTCTCTTCCCTCCCCACTCCCCTGCTACTGCCTCTTCTGAGGTTTGTCAAGTCTGTACCCTACTTCTATGTCTCTGGGTCTATTTTGTTCATCTGTTTGTTTTGTTCATTATATTCCACAAATAAGTGAGATCATGTGATATTTGTCTTTCTCTGATTGGCTTGTTTTGCTTAGGATAATACTCTCCAGGTTCCTCCATGTCATCTCAAAGTATAAGAGATCTTTCTTTCTTACAGTTGCATAGTACTCCATTGTGTAAATGTACCACAGCTTTTTTATCCACTCATCTACTGATGGACACTTGGGCTGTTTCCAGATCTTAGCAATTGTAAATAGTGCTGCTATGAACATAGGGGTACATATATTCTTTGACTGGTGTTTCAATCTTCTTAGGATATATTCCTAGAAGTAGGAATCACTGGGTCAAATGGTAATTCTATTTTTAACTTTTTGAGGTAACACCATAGTGTTTTCCTTAGTGGCTGCACCAGTCTGCATTCCCACCAGCAGTGTACTAGAGTCCCCTTTTCTCCACACCCTTGCCAGCACTTGTTGTTTGATGATTTGTTGATGGTGGCCATTCTGACAGGTGTGAGGTGATACCTCGTTGTTGTTTTAATTTGCATCTCTCTGATGATTAGTGATGTTGAGCATTTCTTCATATGTCTCTTGGCCATTTGTATGCCCTGTTTGGAGAGGTGTCTATTTAGTTCCTCTGCCCTTTTTTTTTTTTAATCCTCACCCGAGGACATTTTTCCATTTTTTGTACAGATAGAGTGGGAGGGAGAGAGAGGAAGAGAGAGAGAAACGATATGAAAGGGACACATCGAGTGGCTGCCACCTGCACGACCAACCAGGGCCGGGGACAAACCGCAACCAAAGTACGTGCCCTCAGCGGGAACCGAACCCGGGTCTCTACGGACCGCAGGCTGACGCTCCAACTGCTGAGCCAAACCGGCCAGGGCTCCTCTGCCCATTTTTTAATTGGGTTCTTTGTCTTCCTTTTGTTGAGTTGTATGAGTACTCTATATATTTTTTAAATTAACCCCTTATCTGATGCATCGTTGGCAATTATGCTCTCCCATATAGTGGGTTCCCTTTCTGGTTTGATGGTTGTTTCTTTTGCTGTGCAGAAGCTTTTTAGTTAGATGTAGTCCTATTAAGTATGATTATAATACAGCAATTAGCTGCATCACATATTCACACATTAATCACAGTATATGCCTAATATGTACCCTAATAAAGGGTAGCAAGTGCATTATTAGAACAGCAATTAATGAAACAGTTTATTTTATTTATGTATTTTTTTTATCCTCACCCAAGGATATTTTTCCATTTTTCGTACAGATAGAGTGGGAGGGAGAGAGAAAGAGAAACATCGATGTGAAGGGACACATCGAGTGGCTGCCACCCGCACAACCAACCAGGGCCGGGGACAAACTGCAACCGAAGTACGTGCCCTTAGCGGGAACCGAACCCAGGTCTCTCCGGACCGCAGGCCGACGCTCTAACCGCTGAGCCAAACTGGCCAGGGCATGAAACAGTTGAAAAGAAAATGTTAGAAATGTAAAAATAAGCCCATACTTATATAGTGTTTTGTACTTTTTATTTATTTATTTTTTCTTCATCCTCACCCGAGGACATTTTTTGCACTCATCTTCAGATAGAGCGGGAGGGAAAGAGGGGGGAAGAGAGAGAGAGAAACATTGATGTGAGAGAGACACATCGACTGGTTGCCACCCACACAACCCCATCCGGGGCCGGGGACAAACTGCAACCAAGGTACATATGCCCTTAGTGGGAACTGAACCCGGGACTCTCTGGTCCGCGGGCCCACGCTCTAACCGCTAAGCCAAACTGGCCAGGGCTTGTTTCGTACTTTTTAAAGAACATTCATTACATCAGCTCATTGTCCCTCACAAGAACCCTGCACGAGGGGCAGGCTTCGGGGGAGGGTTGGGCAGGAGACGGGACTAATATTTACTGCACAGCTACAGTGTACCAGATACCAAGGTGAGCACTTTGTAGACATCGCGGATGAGAAGGACAGGGCTCAGAAAGGTTAACACACCTGCCCAAGTTACAGGACCAAGAGCTCCAACTCCAGACTCTTTGTCTAGGTTTCATTCTATTCCACCAGGCTACATTATTATATTTGTGCCTCTCACATGCCCAACTAGCCAAGACATTCTCAGCTCCTCTGGCATTGCTATTCAGCAGTCTATAAACACACTCTGTCCTTCCTACCTCCGTGTCCACGGGGAGTACCCAGGGGTGGATGTGGTGGGATGGGAAGGATGTGCCCCCCCCCAATCTCCCATCAAAGCCACCCCACATAACTATTTGACCTGAATAAAACCCTGCACTTGCTACATAACAGCAGATCCAAGGGGAGTTCCCACAGCAACACTGCCAATCAGTTTGCTCACCCAAGTCCTCCCTACATGAAAACCTGGAACTGTCCTATGAGACACAGGCGGTGACACAGTGAGGGACTTAGGGAATTCTGCTAAGAGAATTCTTTGAGGAATGTGGGCTGGTGCGAGAACGGAGGAGAGTGTCTGTCCTTCTCTACCTCCTCAGGGCCCGTGTGCTGCTCATCATGGAGAATGTTGACAGTGGTGCCTTAATGGCCTGCAGGGCCACCTGGGATGGGACGTGGGGGTGGGGTAGGGGTTGTGAACCAGGCGGTTCAGGACAAAGCACTTCAGATGCAGCCTGTGTGTTCCTAATCATGCATCTCTCCGCCCTGCCTCCTCCTCACCCACGGAAGCCCTGGGCTTCTAGGCTAACCTTGGGAAATCTTTCCTGACTAATCAGGCCTGAGGCTGACCTCTATTCTACTTTGTGCTCTTTCTCCTGGTAGCAGGTCTCCCTAAGACAACCATGTGTGGGAGCTTCCAGGAAGTTTGCCTTGTCACCCCGCCTCACTGACAAGCTCTCCTGCTAGCACAGCGGCCATAGTTGCAGGGCACCTGCCCCGCTGAGAGCCTTGTTGCTGTTCCCAGTGGCTGGTAGCTGGGAGCCACTCCTTTTCAGAGTAGCCTTTCAGAGTCGCCTCCTCTGCTCCAGCTCTCTTCTGTCTTCAAAATTTCCACAGCATCCTCCCCAACCGCCTTATCACTCAGTTATGTTTCAGGGTGAATCATCTTTAGGGCTGTGATGCGAAGACACCCAACTTTCTCCTTCTGCTGGGAATAAAGGCATAACTGACCGTAGCCATGCCACACTCTTGCTCAGAAACTCTCGGTGGCTCCCAAATGCCTCTGCCTAAGTTCTAGCTCCTTAGTCTGACAGGAAAGGTCCCCTTCCATCCTGTTAACCAGGAGACCTTAGTGGTCTATTCTATAGACCAGGTACTTCTTGGGGTTCCTGAATGCAATTCTTTCTGCTTCCAGAATGCAAAACCCAAACCATACCTGGGGGCCAGCCCAAAAGTCATTTCTCCCCCATCCTCATTAGCATTTTGCCTAACTTTCAGTCTGGCATTGGATCTGATTTTCTCTATAAATTTGAAGTCAAGGACAAATTTTGCTCCTCCCTCCCCCACCTTGTGCATGGTACTAACTCAATAAACGTTTATAGACTCCTGTCCCGATTTGTAAGCTTTCTCCCTAAAGTTCCACGAACTCAAGCAATGTCTCAAACTAGACTGAAAAATCGCCCAGAGCAGATCTAAGGATCACGGGAGTCCGCTGGGGGCTTTGCTAATGTAGATTCTGGCTCAGGAGGTCAGAGGAGGGCCTGAGACTGCCTTTATAGCAAGCTCCCAGGCGGTACTGCAGCAGCTGGTGCGTGGACCACGTTTCGAGAAGCCCGAAAGCAACACTACCTGAGGACCGGGCACCAGCTCACACCTGCGCAGCGGGCCGAGCGGTGGATGAACGCAGGGCTGGGAAGCGCGGTCCCACCCGTCCAAGCTCCCGCCAGGAGAATGCCTCCCCTCCGCCCTCCTCTGCGGCTCACGTACCTATGGTGGACACCACGGTGCCCACGAAGTAGAAGGCGCCGGTGAAGTCCCAACGCGGGCGGGTGTTGTCCACGCGGACGCCGGCCTCGGTGGCCTCCTCGTAGTGGCGGAGGAAGCCGCGCAGCTCCTCCCGGCTCAGGTTGTGGCGGCGACTGAAGTTGGCCAGGCGCTCCTCCCAGCGCTGCTTGGCCTGGCGCTCGTGGGCCCGCTCCAGCGCCGAGAACACGGCGGCGCCGCCCAGCAGGTAGAGCACGAGCAGCGCGGCGAGCAGCAGGAAGCGCGCGTTGTCCTCGTTCAGGTGGCCCGGGCCGCAGCTGCAGCCGCCACCCCGGCAGGCCATGGCCGCCCCCCGGGGGGCTCCGCGCCAGGCTGCCGCGGCCGAGGGCGGACGCTCGCCCGGATCCCAGGAGGCCGGGGCTCCGCCGGGCTCAGCCCGCCTCCGGCCGCCCGACGGCCGGCTCACCCATGTCCTCTGGGCGCTTCCCGCGGCGACCGCTTCTGGGGAGCCAGCTCCCCACGTCCGCCCCCACTCCTGGTTTCAAATCCCCTTTTTCGCCGCCGCTGAGTTCTCCTAAATGCCGAAGGTCCCGGTGGCAGGGCGCGGAGCCCGCTTCGGCCCCTGCGACCCGCGCGCGCAGACTGGGGAGAGGGCGTGGCGCACCTTCAGGGCAAACTCCGGCGGAGCCGAGTGTCCCCCGGGGCCGAGGTCGCGGGACTTGGGGGGCTGCCGGGTACGCGGAGCCCCGTGGCCTCCGTCTCCTTGACCATCGTTCCTCCAGCCGAGGGCTGGGGCGCGGGGTGTGGGTCTGCTGGCTTTGCAGGTAGATCCGCGGTGCTGCGTCCCAGTCGTGGCGTCGCTCCGACCCTCAGGCCCCTCGGGTCACCAGCCGGGCTGCCGGGGCTTAGAGGCCGGTGCAGGTCAGAGGAGGGCGCACCGACGGAAGGGCTGTGCAGAGCGGCGTCCACAGCTTTCGGCCTCCCGCCCGGCCCCCACGCTGCGCGGCATCGGGCGCGCCGAGCGGCTGGAGGAGGAGACCAGAAAGGGATGTTGGGATGAGGGAGCGAAGGAAGTTAGGGAAATCTCCCCCGGTGGCCTCCCTCACCTGGCCCGGGGCCAGAGGGCCCTTGGCCTCCGAGGCCTGCCCGGCGGCGTGCCCCCCGCCCCCGTATCGGTTCAGCTGGAGCGGAGAACGCACCGCGAACCAGCCCCGGATCCCGAGCGGCTGCCAAGGACGGGGGGCTGGAGGGACCTCGCGGCCAAGAGACCGTGACCGCAGACAGTGCCATCTCCTCTACTCAGACTTGGCTGCCTCGGCGCGCTCGAGAGCCTGCGCCCACGGGGCTCCGCGCGAAGTGCTCTTCCTCACCCGTGCAGACCAGCGGCAAGACCTTAGCCAGCCGCCGGGGGCCCTCCCCGAGACCCCGCCTTGCAGAGGGCGCTGCGCCCTGGCCCCACTCGAGTCTCACCTCCTGGAGAGAGCTCCTCCGCCGGGACTGTCCCTAGGCGCCCTCCTGGCCGCGGCCCTGCCCCGCCGACGCGTGCGGGGAGCAGAGGCGCAACCCAAGCTCTGCCTTGCTGGGCCGGCGCGCTCCGACGCGGCAACAGGTGGAGCTGCTCGGCTGCCGGCGCCTCCACCGTCTCCCGCCTCGCAGCCGCGCGGGGCCGCCCCTCGTGCTAGTCTCCGCCCGCGGATGCCCGGCTCTCGGCGGGCCCTCGGGGGGGCTGCCGTGCTCCCACCCCGGGCGCGTAGATCCCGGGAGTGGGTGCTGATGAGGCGCGTGGAGCGCTTATCCGGCTGTGTGGGCTCCTCGAGGGCCAGAAGAGGGAGCTCCGTCCCTTTGAGACACAGCTCGCCCCCACCTGTGCACCCAGCCACACACGGCCCCTCCGAATCACCAGCCCCTGGAATGTGGGAGTGAATATGGATTCAGAAAGGAATGGATACGTGAGCATCTTCGGACTCAGCAAAATTTCCCCACCTCCCAAGAGAGCGGTTCCGGGCTGAAAGCCCACCCACCCACCTACACTCCCCAGGAGCAGAGGATTAAAAATCACAGCTCTGGATTCTAATGTTCTGCCATCAGAAGCCGTGGTGTTTCGAGTATTGATCTCAGCTCCAGAATGCCCCTCTTTTATCTAGCTTATTGGGGGCAACAGCTTTGGGGGTAGTGGCTATGGGGGCATGTGTGTACACCGTGGGTGAGTCCTGCAACTACTCCCCCCAATTTTATTATGAAAAATGTCGCAGTTGTAAGAAATTTACACTGAACACCCATATACTCACTACCTCGATTCTACAATGAATATTTTACTAACATATTCTTTGTTACATATCTATCCATCTGTTTAAATGCATTCAAAGTAAGCTGTAGACATAGTACACTCTCCCTCTCCCCCAGGACTTCTCCCTGCATATAATATTTGTTTACAGATTTTTTTTTCTTTTGGGGTAAAATTTACATACAGTGAAATGAGAAAATCTTAAGTGAACCATTAGAGGAATTCTGACAAATGTATACACCTTTGCAAGTAAACACTTACCGATCCAACCTATCAACCTGTTCCTAATTTTTTCTACCTCCAATTGGTTTTGCCTGTTCTAGATCTTCATATGAATGTAATCATAAAGTTATGTACATGATTGTGTAAAGCATTATGCTTTTTGTTGTTGTTAATCCTCACCTGAGAATATTTTTAGACAGAGTGGGGTGGGTGGGGGGAAATAAAGAAACATCCATGTGAGAGAGGCACGTAGATTGGTTGCCTCCCTCACAATCCTGACCAACTGGCCAGATGCTCTAACCACTGTACCAAACTGGCCATGGCAAGCATTGTGTTTTTCATAATCTAGCCATGTTATGTCTTAGGATAATTTGATCCTTTTTATTCCTAGTTTTTTACTGTTTGAATATACTCTAGTTTTATTTCTTTTCCTCCTATTAATAGAAAATTTTGGCTATCATAAATAAAATTGTTAGTAACATTCTTGTATAACTATTTGTGAATATATTTTCACATCCCTTGGGTAAATAAGAGTGGAATTGCTGAATCATAGGGCAGGTGTGTACTTAATTTTATAAGAAACTGCCTAATATTTTCCCAAAGTAGCTGTTCCAACCAACACTACAACAGCTCCTGATGCTCCACATCCTTGTGAACATTTGGTAGTATCACCATTTTAATTTTAATCATACTTGTGGGTGGGTAGTGGTATCTCATGCGGTTTAATTTGCATTTCCCTGATAACTACTCTGCTTGCTGGCCATCTGTATATCTGCCTTTGTAAATGATCTATTGATGTATTTTACCCATTAGAAAAATTGCTTTCTCTTTTTTATTACTGAGTAACAGGGATCCTTTTCATAACCAAACCAGTCCTTTCTCAGATACTTATTTTGCAGATATATTCTACCAGTCCCTGGCTTGACTGTTTATTTTCTTAAAAATATTTTCTGATGGATATAAGTTTTTAATTTTGGCAAAGCCAAAATTTTGTATTAATCTTTTATGTTTAATGTTCTTAGTGTACTAAGAAATCATTATTTCTCTCAAGGTTTTCTGTTCTTTTTCCCCCCTCTAGAAATTTTATAATTTTAGCTTTTATATTTGCGTCTATGATCTATTTTAAATTTGGGTTTCTATATGGTGTGAGGTAAGAGTCGAGGTTCATTTTGTCCACAGATATCCAGTGATTCCAGTGCCATTTGCTGAGCAGACAAATAAGAGTTTATTTCAGGAGTCTGTATCTCGATCATTAGTTATCTATCCTTATGCTAACACCACAGTATTTAGATCACCTGTAGCTTTACAGTAGGTCTTGAAGTCAGAAAGTGAGTCCTCCAGTTTTGCTCTTACTAAGATTTCCCTTTTATGGGCACCAAAATTTTTACTTACCTACCTTCCTGCTCGAACATTCTATACACATCATAAGCCAAATTAATCTCTTTTGGATCCAGGGCTGTGATAGGGGCCATGACAAAGTGGTGGTAGACCTGCCGTGCCTGCTTTTAAGATTCTCTGGCCCCTCTCAGCCTCTGGCTGTCACTTCTCTTGTCCTTGTCTTGTCCCATAACAGCATGTCTTATAACCCCCCATGGGATAGGCACTGGAAGTACCAACCTCTTTGTTCTGAGGTTTAAGAGAACGCCCAGCACGAAGCCAGGCTCTCAGGAGCGACCCAACTGCAACAGCTCCTCCTTGCCCATGGATGCAGCTCCTTCTCCTCTGCCACGGGCTGAGGAACCAGCGAGCCTGTGAACCAAGACCATGGGTGCAACATGCATAGCCCAGGGGAGGGCTCAGATGGTCAAGTGCACAGGCATTGTGACCACCACTTCCGACTTCCAGCCTAAGGAAGGACTGAGTGAGTAGCTCCAAAACCCCTGAGCTCCTGGTTCCCCGTGGGCATCTCCCATTACCTCGCCTGTGACCAGAGCTTGACGAAGGTCTTTTCTATTCCCACTGCCACACATGGAACAGTATGAGGGATGCAGTGGAGGCCAAAGATTGAGTGACCAGCCCCAGGGAGTCAACCGGGAACATTAACAGACCATTCTCAAATCGGCACGATTTGCTCTTGGGAAGAAGAGGAGGGACCTGGGCAAGGACAGCAGCTAGAAGGCAAAGGAAGGGCAGGCCTGGTTCTCAGTAGTGGTAGTGACTTGGCTCGAAGGGGCCATCGCGGGGCATGCGCAGGTTCTGGGCCTGCTTCTCCGTCAGCTTGCCCGGGTAGGCTTCGGCTACTGCTTTGTCCAGCTTCCTGGGCAGGAAGTGGACCCCAGTGGTGTACTTGTCTGGATGGGTTCACAGTTCAGTCTGCGCCAGCACCGGGTTGGTGAAGGAGTCGCTCGTCATGTAGCTGGGGTGACCCATCACGCAGCCCAGGATGACCAGGTGCCCTCAGCCAGTGGGATGATGAGGCGCCGATTCTTCAGCCACCAGCGGTCCACTGGGGCTTGGTGTTCACCTTCTCCGCAGCATTCTCATTCCGCCACCTGCCTAATTCCCACATCTAAGGGTCCAGTGTTACACACGCTGGTGTCATCCTTCGTCTGCTCAAAGTGCCTTCCGAGGATGCTGTCAACACAGGCTGTGGTGGCGACAAAGGTGTTGCCCTCCTGACAGGCCTCGTCCATGGTGGTCACTTCATCGCCCTCCATGGTGGCCTGCAGTACACTGATGGGGTCAGTCTCGGTGATAATGACTTGGGTTCCCCAAACCCTTCTGGGCCCTGGCATAACCCTTGCCATGTCGCTGTATCCTGCCACCACTGCCACTTTGCCCACAATCATGTCTGTGGCCTGCTTGATGCCATCCATGAGGGACTCCCGGCAGCTAGA